GATCTCAGCATTATCCTCTCCATTTTTCCCACTGAAATTTTAGTTTATAATAATCATACAGTTAGAAACAATAAATACAGGTGATCATTTTAAGATCCTCAGATATATATATTTCCTAGTGATGTGTCCCTAAAGAAACTCCTGTAATTGAAACGTCACACTCCGTGCTGGCCAGACTTGTAGCACATCAGACTGTTACGTGGAACCATGCGTGACATCGTGGAGCCATGCATGACATTGTGGAACCATGCATGACATCGTGGGACCATGCGTGACATCGTGGGACCATGCGTGACATGTAGCCTCAGTTTCAGAGCATTTTGTTCTCTCATTCCTGCCACCCGCCTGATGCTTACAAACTGGAGTCATCTGAGAGGAGGGGAGCTCAGTTGAGAAGATGCCCCCATAAGATCAGGCTGCAGGCTAGCCTATAGGGCATTTTTTAAATTAGTGACTGATATAGGAGAGCCCAGCCCATTGTGGATGGAGCCACCCTGGGCTGGTGGTCCTGGGTTCTATAAGACAGCAAGCTAAGCAAGCCACGTGGATCAAGCCAGAAAGCAGCTCCTCTCCATGGCCTCTGCATCAGCTGCTGCCTCTAGGATTCTGCCCTGCTTGAGTTCCTGCTCTGGCTTCCTTCAGTGATGAACAGAGATTTGGAAGGGTAAGCCCCATAAGCCCTTTCCTCCACAAGTTGCTTTGATTATGGTGTTTCATCACTGTAAACCTAACTAAGCCAAGTTGGTACCAGGATAATAGGACAGACCTGACCGTGTAGTTTTGGGGAGGATTGGAAGGACTTTGGAACTTGGGGCTAGAAAAGCCATTGAGTGTTGAGGGCTCAGTGAAGAGTTCCGTGGGACCTTGGAAGATAAGCATGCTAAGAGCAGTGCAGAGGATGGAGCGGACTTGTGAAGTTTCAGAGGGAAACAGATTCTACTGGGGATGTATGTATTAAGAATCTGTGCTTCTGGAGCTGGGCAGAGTGACACATGGTTTTAATTCCAACACACAGGAGGCAAAGGCAGGTGGACCTCTGAGTTCAAAGCCAGCCTGGTCTACAGAGCAAGTTCCAGGACAGCCTCCAAAACAAAACAGAGAAACCCTGTCTTGAAAAACAAAACAGAAGAGACCAGCTTCACAGAGGTGATATCTTCTGGAAAGTGTTTCCCCAGGGTCAGCTTGCAGAAGCTGTAGCCCAGAAGTGGCCTCAGTTGTACCTCCTGTTGGTAGCTGGACTTGGTAGTGTAAGACTCACCCAGGTGGCGCTGGTTTTAAAGGCATGAAGGGATCATGGAGAGCAGCTGAGGCTTGGCTGTGTGGCAGGGCTGGAGTCCCCGAAGAGAGCCCAGGAGAGGCTGCCACTGCAGGTGCAGCCCGGTTGCAGCAGAGACCCCAGCATTTTCATTTTGGAGATGCCAGGACCATGGGGCAACTACCAAGAATAGCAGCAGTGGAGTGGAACCGCCTGCGCCTACAAGATAAGCTGTGTGCTGCGGAGGGGCAGCAGGAGTCCTGACCCAGGCCCTTTGCCAGCATCCAGAAGACTGGGAGTGGGCAACTTGACATTCTTACTCGTCATTCTTTAGTTTGGTTTTGTGACTGTGATCTGGTTATTCCTTCCAGAAGTAAGAAAGCACTCAAGCTAGTTTTGATTTGTACAGGAACCCACAGCTGAGAGTTTTTTAAACTTAAAAAAGTATTTTGGAATTTTACAGAGAATTATTTGGATTTTAAAAGAGACTGGATATTTTTAAAGAGACAAATTTTTAAAAAAAGATTTATTTATTTACTATGTGTACAGTGTTCTGCCTGCATAACTACAGGCCAGGGGAGGACATCAGATCTCATTACAGATAGTTGTGTTACTGGGAATTGAACTCAGGACCTCTGGATGAATAGGCAATGCTCTTCACTGCTGAGCCATCTCTCCAGCCCCCAAAGAGACAACTTTTAAAGTGTTAGAATTGTTAAGGCTGGGTAACTTTTCAAGTTTGTAAAATGTTTTATGCATAATATTTTTATTAATGTGTGATCTTGGGGATGCGCAAGAAAGGAAAGGTGGTGGCTTAAAAGCTGTGTGTGTGTGCCTGTGTGTATGTGCATGAGTGTACTGTGTGTGTGTGTGTGTGTACAAACTTGAGGAAGTCAGCCTCCCCGAGCCTCAAGCTCCTCTTTTGCAGACCTGGGAGACTGTCTGTTAGACCAATGGTGACCAAAGGAAACGGTACATGATAGACTAAAGCTTGTCACAGACTACAAAGAACTGTATTGATCCATTTACCTTTTCTGAAATGTATTATTCATAGTTCAAGTGGGTATTTTTATTGTTGTTGTTGTTTTGGGTCTGTTCATTCTTTTGTTTGTTGAGACAGGACTTATCTGTGTAGCCCTGACAGATCTGGAACTCATTCTGGACACCAGGCTGACCTGGAACTCTCAGAGATCTGTAACACGAATTCTATTGGTCTTAATAATTTAAAAAAATCTGCCTAGCAGTGGTGGTGCACGCCTTTAATCCCAGCACTCAGGAGGCAGAGGCAGGCAGATCTCTATGAGGCCAGCCTGGTCTACAGAGCAAGTTCCAGGACAGCCCCCAAAACATTACAGAGAAACCTTGTCTCATAAAACAAAACAACAACAACAACAAAAAGTTACATCATGACAAAGCAATGATAAAGTAATAAAATCTCCTTTTCTTGAGTCAGCCTTTGCAGTATTTCCTATTCTGATTTATCTTGCCATTCTCCTCCTCTCCCAGGGTTTCTATTACTTTTCCTATCTAAGATTGCGTTGACAAGATTCCTCCCTGCACTCTGAAGGCTACGTGGTTAAAGCTTTTTAAACATACCCTTTTTATCATTGACCTTTCTTGCTGCTCTTACCAAATAGCTTACAAAGCGCCTTAAAGAAGGGAGGGTTTATTTTGGCTCATAGTGTGAGAGTGCGGTCCATCGTAGTGAGGGGGCGTGGCGGAAAGAGCAGTCCATCACAGTGGGGGATACATGGCGGAGAGCCTGGTCCATCGTAGTCGGGAGGCATGACCGTGCCGACAGCTTCTGGTGTGAAGCCACGGGCTCACTCTGTCTACAGTCCAGGAGCAGCGAGATGGATGCTGGTTCTCCGCTTTCTCCTTTTTATTAAGTTTGGCTCCCGAACAAAAGGAATGGTGCCGCCCATGCTGAGGGTGGGTCTTCCTCACTGTCACTGCCAGGTGTCTGTCTTCTAGACCATCATTCTAAATCCTACCAAGTTGAGCATCACGCTTTTAACGTGACTATTCCGTTATACACACTCCCAAATGTAAGATATGAAGTTCATTTTCCGATTTTACTTGTTTTTTTGGGGGGGTATTTTGATGGAAAGAAACTTCTGGAATATCAATATCAAAGCTTCCTCTTTTCTTATTTGCAAAATTAAATGCCAGTCTGGCTGGATACAGGATTCTAGGCTGAAAACCGTTTCTCTGTGTTCCTTAAAGTCAGGATGTCGTATGAGAACACTTGAATTTGTACGTGAGTACTTTATAGGATCGCTGTTCTGTATTGCCAGTGATGTTGAGAGAGAAGCCAAGAGCCAGGTTAGGCAGCGTATTCTAATACCTGTTTTTTCTCCTTCCGGGTTTCATGTTCCTACTGTCACTTTGTCAACATTTTCTTCTGAGTCCCAAACCAAATAACTAGAGAAAATTTCTTTAAATTCATGCTAGGGCACCTTTTGTCTTAGCCTGAGAAATAGCCTTTGCCTCTCTGCCTCTTCTCCATCTTCCCCCTCCTCCCCCAGCTTCTCCCCCTCCTCCCCCAGCTTCTCCCCCTCCTCCCCCAGCTTCTCTCCTTTCCTCCTGCCCCTCCTTCCACTGACTGAAAATTCACTACCAAATCAATTCATCTCCAAGCCACCCCTGGTTGTTCCAATTGCATGCTTGGTGTCTTCCACACTAAGGGACTGAGAAGTTGAGCTCTGTTTCACACAGTACTGAGATCCCCTCCCCCTCCTCCCTGTAGCTGTCTCTGGCCTCCTGCCTATTTTCTTCATCTTGGACTGAGGTTTCTTCTCCTCACCCTCCAGTTCTGGAATTTCTTTTCCCTCCTCCTATAGCTCTGAGGCCTCTTGATCCTCTGACTTGGGGGTTTCTTTCTTATTCCATCTCAAAGATTACTTACTCCTTACTTAGTCTCTGAGTTCACCTCTAGCCTAGCAATTCCCTTTCATGAATGGGAAGCTCAAGTCATCACTTTGGTGTTCCTCCAGCGTAATGTTTGAGTCTGAGTTTTACATTTTTTGAATCCCATTTTTTCTTCTTGCTTGATTTGCTGTTTCATTCTATGGGGAGCATCTTCTAGTAATTATTTATGAATGTGTGAGTGTGTGTCCGTGATGGGGGGGCACACGTGCATCGTTGTGTATGGAGGGCAGGAGACAAGATAGTGGGGTTGTTTCTTCTCCTCCCACCTTTATGTGGGTCCCAGGGATTGACCAAAGTCACCAAGCTTGTGTAACATGTGACTTTATCTGCTGAGCCATCCCACTGGCCTCTTCATAATTGTTTAATAAAAGAGTTTTACATACTAAGCTTTCTGAGACTTTTATAGTTAGCTCAGATTCTCTGGGTGGAGAAGACCTGCCCTCGGCTCAGAGAATTAACCTATGGACCCCAGAGCCAAGTGGAAGTTGGATTTGCCCTGTGTCCACGAAACAAATAACCTGAACAGTCAAACCCCTCAGTCATTTGAAGTAGCGCTTCCACCAGATACCCAGCTAAACATGGAAGCTGCGTCTGGCCGCAGCCATCGTGGAAATAGTTGCCACTAATAGGACAGGCCAGATTTGCCCACAGAACATTAGCCTCAATGTTTAACTCTGTGTGTGTGTGTGTGTGTGTGTGTGTGTGTGTGTGTGTGTGTGTGTGTGTGAGATACAGTGGAGAGAACACTGGGTTGTCACTGGAAAAGATGGTAACAGAATGTGCTAATAAAAACACACACAATGCTACACATGGAGTAGGTAGAATTTGTTTAATGTAAGAAAAATTAGAGGACGCTTACATAGTTTGTAATGGACCCATAATACCAGGTCTAAGAGTACACAGACACAGCAATGTACAGACACAAAAGCTCACACACACGAATCATTTATTCACTTTAGCGTCTTTACATCTTCCTTTCTTGACTTCACAGCAGCATGTGGATTAGAAGGTTCTAGTAGATTCCAGCTATCGAATCCTATGCTACTGAGAAAATATATGGCTAGTAAGACATCCCTGTTTTCTCTTAAATGATTTATGCATTCATGGACAATGAAGGCTTTAGAAGCAAACAGATGTGAGATAATATGATCATACCAAAAAAATTATACAGGAGACTTTCACAGACTTAATTCTAAACCTAATGCTAACTGATGACTTCATCACCCCACACACATTCCCTCACATGTACCAACAGAGGCCAGTTCAGCTGTTACATCCATGTGGCAGTATGTCCAAGAGAGTTCATGGAAAGGAGTGGCTGGAATCCACAAGCAGCTGGCACCACAGTCCTTTAAGACTGTGTCTCCATGCACAAAGACCTTGCTTCGTCAGGCGTGGCTGAGAGGGGAGAGGTGGAGGTGGGCTTGTCACAGCTGGGAGACGTGGCTGGGAAACCAGTTCCTCCCTAGCGAGTTACAGAGCATTCAAGCGGATGTCCCCACAGGGAATTTCTGTTGGTGTTTCAGGAGTGATACTTTTAATAATGCGCTATTGGGAAGAAAATACAATGCTATGAAGTCTTGTTTGAAAAGATATTTCAACATTAATATTAAAACATTGAACAGTATTTTAATGACATTTCATAATAAGCTGGAATAGCCTCATTGGCCTTTGAAGGAGAAATTCCCAACTTATATGGGTAAAGATGGCAGAGTGGAGAACACAAGCATCTTTAGAGCCAGTGAGGATATCATTGTGACACTAATAGAAGGAATAATCCTTCAGGAGGACCTTGCTAGCCATAGCATGACAGACTTAAAGAGACAAGGCTTGTCAGAGCCACATACACAGACTTGGGGACAGACGACTGGATTTCAATTCTCCTCTTGGCCATAGAGCCCAGTGCCATGAGCCACTGAAACCCACCCATTACCATGTTGTAAACTATTGTTGATAAAAATATAATTAGGATTAGTCTTAAGTGGAGTTATGATATACAGGAAAGAGCTAATTAGAGTGTGTGGGAGCGGCAAGCCCGGTAAATAGCAGAATAAAGAAAAGTGTTTGGCTTTTGTGCCCCTCCTTCCTATATCTGCTGCTGCCCCTTGGGCTGACTCCCCCAAGTTAGCAGGGTTAGATAGTGCTTGATGTTGGGTGTATGTGCACGTATGCCAGTGCATATGTGGAGGGTGGAAGATGGCTTACAGGACTCAGTTTTCTGCTGTGTAAGTTCCTGCAATTTAACTCGTCTAGCTTGGTGGTAAGAGCCATTTTGCCAGACCTCCAGACGACTATTGACTCAACTTTGCCATGCCCTGGCCTTGTGCAAGATGGTAACCAGCTAATCTAAGAATGGAGCATGGCTGACATCTTCACAACTGTGTTCATTAGGGACCCTCTCCCATTATCTTTGTGTGGGTCAAAGGCTTTCTCTAACAATGACTTTAACTAGTGAATGACCCCAACCTTGAGCCTTCTAGGCTGCTACTGCCTGTGATACCTTCCCGAATTAGACCAGTAACAGATCTTACTCTGTACACTGCAGACTTATACAGGTGCCCCCCACCCCCACCCCTCCATCCCCACCCCCCTACCCCACCTCCCCACCCCCCACCCCCTCACCCCCACTTACAGTGGATCACCACAACCCATTTTTCCTTTGTGATATGCAAAAGTGACATCTGTTCAGTAGAAAGTGTTCTGAATTCTGATCTTTTCCCAAGCTAGAAACATTGCTCTCTCCTGATGTTAGGTAGTGGCAGCAAGACACAGTTCCTGCCAGCCAAGTGGCCATGAGAATAACTGTACTGTACTGTGTTGCTAGGCTGTGATGTTCAGGATGCTAGGTATATTCATTGTATTTTTTATTTAATGATATTTTCAATTTATGATAGGTTTATCAGGATCTAATCTCATAAAGCCCGGAGCATCTGGATATGACCGGTACCCAGCAGAGTTCAGTCATTTACTTCCCTCTTAAGTTTGCCTTTTTGTTTGTTGGGTTTTTTTTTAACCGAACCAAAATTTTATTATGGAACCTCCCTTCCTCCCAGAGTGCTTCTGTCCAATCTAGAAATTAACGAATAATTGCTTTAAGAACTCCTATATAGGCAGGTATGGTGGCATAGACCTGACAATGCCAGCCAGCCATCAGAGGCAAGAGGGTCACTTCGAGATTAAGGCTAGTCTGAGTTGCATAGTGAGATTTTAGAATAAAAGTCCTCCCTCCCTGCCCGCCCTCCAAGAAACTTCTAATTTTTCCAGGAGTACTTGGGGGGAAATCCATGGTATAATTGTACACAAGAATAGCAAAGGTCTCTGAGAGTTTCTTGTAAAGAAGGGGTAGGATTTTCCTTAATCCAGTGTTCTCTAGATCTTTCTACCTGGTGATGTCACTGTTGCTACTCATCAGCACACTCTAGTCTGATGAGTACATTTTACTGATTCGGAAACCAAGGCCCAGAGGCAAATGCTTTGCATGGCTGACTAGGTCCTGTCCTTAAGATTCCCCCGGGGTTTATCAGCTGCTTCCTGGAAACCCACTGTCTCCCATCTGGTGGCCTTTGGTAAAGACGCCCTGTCATTTCACCTACTGCCAATGGGTTTGAGCTCTATCACACGTTTTTGGGTGATATTTCCTTGTAACTAACTGAAAATTTGCAAGAAAGACAACTAGGATTTGAGGGGCAGCCTGTGACAAAATGCTGGCATTTGTTAACCTGGAGTTCCTACTTCTGACCCTGGCCTCTGGATTTGTAGCAAAACAGGTGATGGAGCTCCTCAGCTGTCATTAAAGGTAGCCTGGAGGAGTGAGTGTAGTGACTCTGGTCTGGGAATGTACTGCAGGAAAATGACTGTCTGGCCCCTCGGGGAGGAAAGGTGATAAGGTTGCTTTGGTTTGATTATAGAAATTTTCAAGAGCTGAGTTTTCTCTACCTTGAGTTTAATTTTCCTACTTAGAAAAAGGAAATCCAGTTCTCAGAAAAGGATGTTTGTCTCATGCCCTTACAAAACGTCTGAGAGCATTAGTGTGGTGGTCTATTCAGTACGGAAGTTTTGCTTATTAGAAGCCACAGTCTAGCCCCTGAGTTCTCAAAAGCCTCCTGCTTTCTCCTGATGCCACCCTTCACCTCTGAGCTCCTCCCCTGCAAACACAATAAGGGACCTAAGACTGTCCTGGTGTGACACCCATTACAAAACACAGACTACTGCGGCAGAAACCCACCCGAACAGTAACATTGAAAACATTTCAGGTCTGCGGGAGTGAAGTGACACTGTCATGAGTCCCAGTAGTGGAACCACCACCTCTGGCAGCATGAAAATGGACACATCAGTTTCTACACTAGCAAATGGTCAGCTCAGGAGAAGGCAAACTGCACCCAAAAATACAAAATCACTGGCCAAAAAGTCAGAAGAGCTGGAGAGTCCCTGGACTGTGTTGTCTTCAGACAAGTCACCGAAATAATGACTTTGACAAGGTCACACCCACCCTCGATGCTCTTGTCTGCCAGTAGCACCTGTACCCATCCACCTGCCAAGGTCTCTAGAGAGCCAGATAAGATGACCTAGAGGCAGACACTTCGGCAAGTTTGCAGCTTATAGAAATTTTTAGGAACTTAAGAACTTATAAATTCAGATATCAATAATTGTTTCTTCTAACATGGGGTAAAATGGCTCCAATGGTCTGACCTACAACTTTGTTGGGTGGGTGACAGTTTTTAAGCTAAGTTGTTACTGTAACAACTTTACTTTGTGATTGTAACATCCTTATTTGGCAATGTTCTTCAAGACAGTACTTAACACATCCATGTAACATAAATGACCGTGGCACCAGGCATGGTGGCCACACCTTTAATCCCAGCACTCAAGAGGCAGGTAAAGCTGAGTTTGAGGTCAGCCTGGCTTACATAGTGAATCTCTGCCTCAAAATAGAGAAAAGAAAAAGGACCACCGCACTTTTAAATCATAACCTTCACTTATCTGTGCCCTGGATGTCACACATGTGTGGTCTATGCCAATGACAAGCAGCAGGTAAAGGAGATGGTGAGCTTAGGAAGCCGAACACAGCCCAGACAGAACCCTGCAGAGCACCCCCATCACTTTAGACAGGGTCTCATATAACCCAAGCTGGTCCCCAAATCAGTGTCACAGAAGATCTCTACCTCCCGAGCACTGTGATACATCAGGCTCAGCTCACTCTTGTCACAGTGTTTATGAGTTGTCTTGTAATGTAAAAGGCAGTTATTTAACCTTCAATGAGGTAAATGAAACACTATAGATATATAAGACAAAGAGCCTTCTGGTGGATTTTATCTTTTGAATAAAACATAACAAGAGAATTACTTTCTTCCCAATTATCCTACTAATTTTCTCTCTCTGTCTCTCTCTGTCTCTGTCTGTCTTTGTCTGTCTCTGTCTCTCTCTGTCTCTCTCCCCCCTCCCTCTCCCTCTCATTAGATGGCACATACCTCCTTAAGTGTCCCCGGAGTGCTGATCAGCCGATAAATGATGTATGCAGGGATGCAGATGATGGATGACATCCCTATGCAGTAGCCCAAGATGATACTCCAGTGAGGATAATTGTATTGGAAAAGCCGCAGTTGGGGTGGGCTCATCAAAAAACTGCAAATGATGAACTAAGACAAATTCCAAGAAACATTGAAAATCTTGAAACCACAAACACCAAAGACCACATCTGAGATTCTACTAGGGGATATCCTAGATTGAACTTACTACCAACTAAAAGTCAAAAACAAAACAAAACAAATTGGTACATTCCTTGTCTGGGTTTCTTCATCTCATTGCTAGTGTGGAGATTACAGCATCCCTACAATTGCTCCCAAGGCAGGGAGATGTAGCATTTCCTATCATGGAGAAGAGGCTGGCACCCACTGTGACTGGCCAGCAAACAGACAACCTGGGCAGCCCCTCTGTTCATCTCTACTGTGTGGCCATGTCCGGCATTTCACTACTGTTTTACTGAGGTGCGATGGAAGGTACCTTCTGTCTGGGAGAGAGAAACTGAGGAGTATCTTCTTCTGGGAATGTTCCTTCCCGTCTCCGTGTTAGGCTCTGCAGCCGGTGGTTTCAGTAAGAATGACTACAACGGTGCATCTCAACGCTAGTGACAGTCTGCTATGGGCCCCACGGGAAGGAATAGTGGAAGCAGGGAAAGCAGCTTCACACATTTTTCACTTGAAGATCCTGTGAAATTCTTGATGGAAAATTCAAATCTCTTAACACCCAACTTAGATTTTCTTATTATCAGTTTGGTTTCCAGAATGGTTTTGGCCTAGGAACCACTATGCTGAAATCACTATTGCTCTTGACTTAATTTTATTTTAGTGCTTCATGCTCAGAAAGAAGACACTAATGTAAGTTATTAATGGAGCTAAGCATCTAGTTATATGTTTTTCCTTTTGTCTGCAGGTAATAAAATGGGAAATTGTTAAGCAAACATCCTTCTTCAGAGAGCAGTGCTAGCCTGTGTCCAGGAGGAAGGCTTCAAGAACGGAGCCTCATCAACCACAAACCTTGCTCCTCAGGCCCAGACCTGGCTACTGAGGAAGGTAACTGGGGATAGAGGTGGAGAAGATCTGGTCAGGAGCCATCCTTAACAGAACTGGGCTATCTGCTGTCAAGTGTGTGAGCGCTGCCAGGGCCCAAGCTTGTCACTCAGTGGCTCCCCCGCTGAGCCCATTCAATCTATTTTCTTTTTCTTTTTCCGAGACAGGGTTTCTCTGTGACTTTGGAGGCTGTCCTGGAACTAGCTCTTGTAGACCAGGCTGGCCTCGAACTCACAGAGATCTGCCTGCCTCTGCCTCCCGAGTGCTGGGATTAAAGGCGTGCACCACCAATGCCCGGCCTCAATCTATTTTCTTTCTTCTTCCTTTTTTTCTTTCTTTCTTTCTTTTTTTTTTTTTGTAAGTTTGTTTCAGTGAAAAAGAATGGTTTCAGTTCGTTACTTGTTTACCTAAAGCACTGAATGGGAACCTGTTCATTCAACATAGATTCAGAAGGCCGAGCTGCCCCCTCTCAGTGCCACAGAGCATTGGCCTTTGGAAGGACATGAACATCCCTGAGATGATGACTTATGTGCCGGCACTGGTCTCTACATGGGTAGCTTCCAGAAACAGACAAACAAAAAACCCAAGGCCGCCAGACCCAGACAAGAATGAGGCTCTCACCTCATGCATGAGGGGAAGACAAAATATTTTCATATAATCTGTCAGAGATAGGACCTCATGGGCACAGACCTGGGCCAGGCGAATGAGGAGAGTCACACAGGCTCAGGGGCCAGGCCCAGCATTTTGATGAAATGTTTTCCATATTAAGCACTGCATTAAAATAGCATTTATCTTGAGTACTGGTGCATTTATGTCCCCTGGTGGTGTCTCACAGTGAGTCTGGGCCTGGATGCTGCTTCCTTGCTGGGTAGGGATATGAAAACAATAAGCAAAAATGCCTCTACCCTCAAGGCATTGATCTACTGTGCCTTCTTCCACGAAAAACAAATGAAAGGGGTTAAGTGGATTATCAAGAAGCATCGGTATTAATACAAGCTAATAACCTATTTATGGCAGGACCTTAGCTTCTGTTCACAGAAGACTCAGTCCAAGCCTCTGAATAGAAAAGCACTAAACTCTGCCAGGTATATGAACACTTGCCTTCAATCCCAGCACTCCAGAGGCAGGGGAATCCTTGTGAGTTTGAGGCTAAAATAGGTTTACTTAACAAGTTCCAGGCCAGTCAGGACTATAGAGTGAGACCCTGTATAAGCTAGCAAACAAACACACAGAAAAAGAAAGAAAGACTTCTGGATTTAAAAGAAACAGATAGCATGATGGTGAACACCTGTAGTCCCCACTACTTGAAAAACTGAGGTGATAGGATTTCCTGGGTTAAGTTCAAGACCAGCAAACCTTGTTTAAAAAAATGGTTTTTTTATTCTTTTTTTTTTTAATTTAGATAAGAAACAAGGTTGCTTCACAAGTCAGTTCCAGGTCCCTCTCCCTTTCCCTCCCCTCCTCCCGTGCCCCCCCGTTATCCCCTCGTTTCCCCAGGGAGGGTGAGGCCCTCCATGGGGGTGTCCATAGTCTGTCATTTCATATAGGGCAGGGCCTAGACCCTTCCCCAAGAGTTCAGGGTGAGAGTGCACCTCACATTGTTCTATGGGAGTCCAAAGTCCGTGTGTATACTTGGGATGGGTACTGATCTGCTGCCCAAGGCTCAATAGATTCCCTAGGCCTCCTCACTGACACCCAGATTCAGGGGGTCTTGATCAGTCCCATGCTGGCTTCCCAGGCTGATATGGTTTTTAAATAGGCTAAAAGCACCAAGTGACCAATGAGCTGACAAAGCAATGGACTAAAACCTAAAGTACACAAGCCAGGGCCTACACTGAAGTCCCTGTCTATTCTAGAGCCTGTGTCTATTCCAGAGCCTGTGTCTATTCTAGAGCCTGTGTCTATTCTAGAGCCTGTGTCTATTCTAGAGCCTGTGTCTATTCTAGAGCCTGTGTCTATTCTAGAGCCTGTGTCTATTCCAGAGCCTGTGCCCGCCCTGGAGCCACTGTGTCCAGATGTTCACAGCTCGGGGAAAATGTTCATGAAAGCTTCTGGCGTCTAGAGCAGTCAGGAAGGGCTTCTGGGAACAGGGACACATGCAGCACCACAGAAACAAAGATGGAAATTGGGCCATCATATAAAATTTAATGCTGCCAGGCATGGTATGGTGGTGCACATCTTTAACGCCAGCATTCGGGAGGCAGAGGGCAGCCTGGTCTACAAAGCAAGTTCCAGGACAGTCAGTACTGTTAGAGAAACTGTCTCAAAGACACAAAACACTTAATCCTGAGATGTTAGTGGTGGGGGGTGGGGGCAGCAAAGGGTCTCTCTCAAGAGAGTCAGAACACAGAGATGAACAGAGACTGTTGGCTAAAGAAAGGCCTGAGGCGTCTAGGATGGCCTCAAGAAGCTGAGGTGGGTTACTGGAATCATAACCTGCGCTTTTTGTGTGTGTGTGTCTCTAAAGGATCAAAAATGACCCCTCCCAATAAGGATATATATAAATGAAAGCATTTATATATAAATGGGCACAGGCTGGGCTTAGCCCAGGGTACCTCACTCAGCATGCATTTGAGAGGTTAATAGGGTAGTACCCATCTTTGGGCAACAGAAAGACACTTGGAGAGGAGGTAGCAGGGGCACATAGGAGACTCAGTGACTGCTAAACATCATGAACCACCCTTAGAACTCAACTTTCTTTTGTGTTTTCGTTTTTTGAGTCAGGGTTTTTCAGTAGTTATGGAGTAGACCTGGATCTTGCTCTGTAGACCAGGCTGGCCTCAAACTCACAAGAGATATGCCTGCCTCGATTTTCTTATCCAGGTTCTTCGACAATAAATGAATTCTACTTTTGACTTGTCCTAAACTTGGGGACCTTTGTGTGTGCCCCTTCAAGGTACATCTAAAATTAAGTATGAAATTGCTAGGACCCCTCTCAGGGCAATAAAAACAGTATATCTTTCCTTGGTCTTGAATAATGTTTGTCACATGATTTTAATGACCCTAAGCCTCAATTTTCTTAAATGTTAATGAGAAGAAACAAGCCAGGTGCAGTCACTCAGGCCTGTGGAAGTGGCATCTGAGAGGCAGGAGGATCTCACATGTGAGGTCAGCCTGGGCTAAGTATAGAGTTCCAGGTCAATTCAATCTACATACGGAGACTGTATTTAAAAACAAACCACGGGCGCTGGAGAGATGGCTCAGAAGTTAAGAGCACTGACTGTTCTTCCAGGGGTCCTGAGTTCAATTCCCAGCAACTGCATGGTGGCTCACAACTATCTACAATTCAATCTGGTGTCCTCTTCTGGCATGTAGGCAGAACACTGTATATGTAATAAATAAATAAATCTTTTAAAAACACACCCTTTCTGAATTATCATAAGGATTAAAAGGGCAATGGGTATAAGCTTGTTGCCGAGTCAGCTCTGGCACTTACTGCTCGGGAAATGTTATCATTTTGTTAGTGGTGATGATGTTGCGCTAGCGTGATCCCCCGTGTTCAGTGTCAGAACCAGGTGAGCAGTGGTGGGCACAGCTGCAGGGAGGCGCCCGACAGAGGGGCTTCTTAGAGTGCTAGCTTATTTTTGTCTCTTGGTATGATTTTGTCCTCTGAGAAGTGCTGGGTTTATAACTCTTTGAGATGCACACCCTGGGTCTGAATGTTCTTCTGTGTGTTACAACACTTCAGTAGCCTTTTTGATTTTTCAAGCAAGGGTTTCTCTGTGAAGTGCTTGCTGTCCTAGAGACCAGGCTAACCTTGAACTCAGAGATTCTCCTGCCTCTGCCTCCTGAATGCTAGGATTAAAGGCATGCACCACCATTGCCTAGCCTTATTTCTTATAAATACTTGGGACAACAAGACAGAAGGGACAACTTACCAGGAGAAACAGAGGGCTGATGGCTACCCAGCAAATCCTCCAGAACCAACCCGGGCTGAAGCCAAGCATTTCCTTCACGTCACTGCAGAACTGAGTGATACCTAGAATCGCCCAAAGGAGAATTTGACTGCGAGAGCATGAACTTCTTTCTACCTCCTGAGTCTTGCAGGCAAGGTCAACAGGGTCAGCACTGGCGATGGTAGGAATGGGAGCGGGAATTCCGCCCTGAGCTGGTGGAGTCGCTTTGGGATTTTCCACATGATGGGGCAGTGTGTGTGTGTGCTTGGTGGTGGTGTATTACAAAACTGAATCATTTTTATAGCAAGCAAAATTCACAGAGCCAGAAAGTTGGACACCTGGGCAGAGAGCCAAGTTCCCCATTGGTGCCTACACGGTCATCCTAAGATCTCAGCCTGGACTTGATTATAGTTAACTGTAGGAAGGATGCCACATTTTATTTAGGAACAGTGCGCCTGCCTTGCAGAGACCAACTTGCACTGTCCACTGGCAACTTTCAAGGAGATTTTTTTTAAAGATTTATTTCATGTGTATGAGTGTTTTGCCTCAATGTATGTTTGCACACCCTGTGTGTCCATGGGGTCCACAGAGGAGGGCAGAAGAGGGTGTCAAACCCCCTGGAACTGGAGTTAACTGGTGGTTTCGAGTCACCATGGGTGCTGGGAATCAAACCCAGGTCCTCTGGGAGAGCATCCAGGGCTCTTAACCACTGAGTCATCTCTCCAGCTCTTCCAGGGAGTTTTTTAAGCACAGTATTGCTTCACATGCCAGGTCAAGATCCAGGTTCTTCTGTAAAAACTTACTGGCACTAATGTGGCAACGCCCACTGACAAGTGAGGGCGTGAGGAGTGAAAGTGCTTCCAGCTGCTTCCTCCAGAAGTCTGTGGTTCCCAGGGCAGGTCTATACGGTGACTTTGAACTCTATCCTCTGAAACAGGCCCTGAATTCAGTTCTCAGAACCCACAACAGGTGACTCACAACCTCCTACAAGTCCAGCTTCAGGGAATCCAGTACTCTCCTCCAGCCTCTGCAGGCTGCTACACACACACACACACACACACACACACACACACACACACTTAAACTCTTTAGTTCATGTGCTCGCCCCATTTTCTTTACACTGTGCATAATGACTACCGGGAAAAGGCAGTTGAGCATAGAGACTGGAAAGCAAATGCATTTCCAGAATGAGATGTTTGCTTCTGGATCGTACAGACACGCCTCTGACCGTGTGTTCTTCATGTCCGTGCCTGTGCCCTCCCCTGCCCCTATCCCAGGGCTCGTGGCAGCTCTGCCAATAGAGCTCAGCTCACTTCCTGTACTCCTCTCACCCCTGTCAAAGTCCACCCCAGGACCAGAGGGAGTGACCTGGGGACTTGCCAAAGCAGAGACAGCAGACATTCTTTTCTCATTAGCAGACAAGGACCTAAGCTCTATCTCGGTGCTCTGGAAAGGGGTCCTGCTCGAGACGCTTAAACCCAGGGCACTCTCAGAGCAGCACATCAGGTCCTAAACCACCACTGTGGGTGAACTGGCCGACGTTAGCTGTTCTCTCCTGCGTAAATGTTAAAAAAATATCCGGGGGGTATGGCAACTGTAGTATAGTGCTGAGGAAATGATGGACGGCTGTAGAGTCCTCCACTGAGATTACCTTAGACTTGTCAGGGGATCACACTTAGCCAATTGCCCCTTCCTGTCCTCCTCTGATGAAATCAGTGCCTGGTTCCATGCAGACTGAGGGTAATAGAGAGAGAGCCCTCCCTGGAAGGGACTTCTTACCATAGAACCAAGACACAGCAACGGCTTCTATGAGTGCCACCGTGAGCACTGCGGGCCCTGTGGCATACTCCTCCAGCAGCGTCACCACATATGCCCCTCCCTGGGAAGGAGATTTCAGATGTGGTTAATGGTCTTCTGAGGTGCAGCCCTCCTCATTACAAAGGCCTGCAGAAACTTCTCAGCCCCTTAGCTCATCCTTATGTAACCCACTGCACTGTAAGATAAAAACTCTGAAAAGTCTCTATCTCCACTTTCAACTTACTGACCACTTGTAGACTCAACCTTGGAGAACCTACAACTGTAATACTGAATCTGCAAGCTGGGCATGGTGGACACACCCTTAATCCCAGCACTGGGGAGGCAGAGGCAGGAGGATCTCTGAGTTTGAGGCCAGTCTGGTCTATACAGATTACTCCAGGACAGCATAGGGAAGCCCTGTCTAGAAAAAGAAAAGACAAATTCTGAATGTGGAATGACCAACTTGACACAAAAGCATGTAGGTCACTGTTGTGCCTTTTTGTTCTAACTTCTGACCTCTCCGAGACCTACGAAGTCTCCTATCCTGCCCTGGTAAAATGCTGGAGTCACTGAGGTCATGGCTTGAGCCAGGAGGACACAAGTCCATGATGTCACACTATCTGATAGGACATCTTTACTATGTTTGCCTTGGTTACTAAACAAAGTTGGGGAAGGGGGAGGGAGGTGCCTGGAGAGGATCTGACTTCACATGGAGAATTCTAAAGGAGACAAAGTAGCATTGCATCCAAGACACCAGTACAAAGCACCCTGAAAGGTGGAAATGGCTGGAAATGCAAATCCTAACTTCTCCCCAGGTAATTTTCCAAGTGTGAAACTGGATCCGTTGTGAAACACTAAGCACTCCCACCCTGCGTGCCATGCACAGATCTCGCAGAAGGTAATGCAGAAATAACTTCTCGTTGGTGACAAATTCTTCAATGCTGAAAACTGAACCTGGGGCCTCGCATGCTAGGCAAGCAACCTAACCCTAAGCTGCATCCTCAACTCATGATGAGTGTTTTACTAGTGCTAGCAACACCCCTTGAGGCCCTCAAGTGAGCACAGTGGGAGTGCAAGGGAAGGATCCCCTCTGCTTGTGGAGTACTGGTGCCCTGGCAGAGGCCACTCGCAGCCTAAGGCCCTGGGACTCACAGAAGTCAGTGTGAGCAGGGATCCCAAGACGCAAGTAATGATCACAATGAGCACAAACCACTCCCGCCGCTTGGCCCAGATGTGTGGAAACTCATCCAGTACCGCTGTTATCACGCCTTCCAGGCCTGCAAACTAAAAAATACATGCAGATGGTCACAGTGCAGTCTTGGGACAAGCCTGTGCCTTAAGGATAGTGGACAGGAAGAGAGATAAGACCACCAAGGGAACAGTCAAGCTGATCAAGACCAGTTCGCCCACTCACTGGCCTGTGAACATGGCTGGAAACCTATTTCCATCTGATACCATCATCAGAACCTGTCATTTAGGCCATGCAGGCAAGAAAATACAGCACCCAGAACTTCAGCATTTGGTGTGTCTGGGGGAGACTGGGTGCCCCAAGGCCAGCTCAATGCCCTCTCTACACTAACAATTACAGGTCTCTGAGCTGAGCCTTTAGGTGCCATCAGGGGGAAAAAAAGGAAAACAGTAGTTTATATATGCTGAGCCCTTTGTGCCAGGCACTTTCCCTACATGATGCCAATAATAACAAAGGTGCCACTGCTGAGAAGAGCGGGCTGGGGGACAGGATGGGGAGGAATGGAGGAGGAAGAAGGGAAGAGGAGGGTGCGGGGAATCACCAGGAGGTAGCAAACAGCACCACGTGAGGGTTTGGGCGGGAGGAAGTGAGTCTAGCCATTTCCTGCTCCCTTTCCTCTCATCCTCCCAGACCCACTTTCCATCTCTACTCACCGTGCTGTCCAAACCCAGTGTGATTAGCATGAGGAAGAAGATGATGGCAAAGAACGTGGATGCGGGCATGTTGGCGATAGCCTCCGCATACGTGATGAAGAGGAGGCTGGGGCCTGAAACGGAGAGGGGGGAAGAGGAGGAGGTGCACGCCGAGACCCATCCTACCAAGCTATTGCAAAGTAGAACTGGGCTACACCAAAGCTTACAGTTCTCACTGTAAGCCCCGCCCCCCAGGGAATCCGGCTTTGTCAGTACCAAAGGCTTCCTCACTCACCACACCTGACATTTTGCAAAGCCAAGGGGAAGATTGTCCACCTTGAAAACTGTGTGTCTTCAACTCAGGAGAAAGAGGAGACTTAAGACTGGGACCGGACAAGCTCCGGTATGTGATGATTCTGTTTTGTTGTCAGGGCCAGGACGGCTATAACTAAAGTACCTTGTGATGTCCTCAGCACCAGAATAGCAGGAGATGGACTAAGGACCCCCTGCCATTTTTAAGTCACCCCTTTTTCTATTTGGGGGTGCTATGGTATGAACTCCAGCATCTGAACACTATAGGCAAGTGCTCTACTACTGACCTACAACCCCCCCCCACGCCCAGCTCTCACAATCCTTTTGACAGTGTGACAAACAAGTTCTCAAGCCCTTATGGTAAGCTAGGGATGCTGTCATTTGGTCAAAATACTATATCTGGTCAAAATACAAATATTCCTCATGTCCCTGGGGCTCCATCTACTTGGTCTTATTGCTTTAAATATATGTTATGCTATTTCCCATGAAAACATTAAGCAGCATGGCCACATCAGTTAAATCTTATCTCTCTGAAAGGGAGTTCCTAAGGACTAACAGTTTTTTGCCTGCTAGACTGGACCATACCACGAGATCATCCCAATGCTCAAATCCACTGATTTTAAAACCATCATACAAGTCATATTTTTAATCCCATCATCCACTGGGCACCGAGAGAACTGAATGCATGGGTGGGCTGAGATCACCAAGGCAATTAGGTTTCTTTCAAATCTTTGGAAATATAAAAGAACAGTTGAAGAGTTTACTTATTTGTAGAGATCCAAAGTGCATCAATTCCATAAACAGAGCCCTGGATCCTACCTGCATCTTTGGCCACCTCGGACACGTCTTCATTCCTCATCTCTGCCATGTAGCCAAGCACCGTGAAGATGACAAAGCCAGAAACGAAGCTCGTCATGCAGTTTACCACACTGGTCACCAGGGCGTCTCTGGAGTGGGAAACCCAGGCTGCCTGAGACACTTCTGGGGTTGGAAGTCTAAGAAACGCTGTCTGTGTCTCCTGCTGAGACTAGTCTCCATGCCCAACCTACCCCCACGTCTCCCAGAGTTCTATCCCCAAATGCTGTGGCCGCCACACCCAGCATGGGGAAGGCAGGTCAGGGGTGTTTGAAGACATGGTCATATCCGGGTACAGTAGCATGTACCTTAATTCCATCTCTTGGAAGGCTGGGTGAGGCAGGAGGATTGTGAGTTCAAGGCTACAGAGCTATGAGCTACAGAGCAAGGGAGGGGACAGAGCAAGACAGGGACAGGGAGAGCCACTGTAAAAAGAGCACACTACAGACCTCTCCACTTTAACCAGGAGAGGCAGTGCCCTGGAGTGGGGTCTTAGCCAGAGGGGCCAGGAAAAGGCTTTGGCCTCACATTTGTGAAACTGAAACTTCAATATTATCTTTAATTCACAAGTCTGCTGAGGTGACACCTTGATAGTTTTAAGACTTCATTACATAGTTTTAGCTAGTATCCCAACACAAGGTCACATTCCTTAGAGGGTGTGTGAACTCCTCCCCCACCTTCAGAAAGAATAGATTCCATAATTATATTGGTAACAGTATAAATGGACTGCTGGGCATTGCCATCTGTACAGGAAGATTTACTATCTAAAGGTCATCAGTGGCACTCAAGGCATCATCAACGCAACGCTCCTGCTTTAAAATGTGGAAGCATGACTCTTCCAGAATCACGGCACTTTGTTGTAAGTTAAAACAGTTCAATCGTTATACTTTGTGTGTCTTACACAGTCAGTTTATAATTTTGTGGAACATATATATTTGTTTTTGGCTTTTAGATAAAGGGTTTCTCTGTGTAGTTCTAGCTGTCCTGGAACTTACTTTATAGGCCAGGTGAACTCAGAGGTCTGTCTGTCTCTGCCTCCCCAATGCTAGGATTAAAGGTGTGTGCACTACCATGCCTAGCTAATTGTAAAGTATATTAACTACTGTATGCTGTGTTTTTTATAACCTTGCTATATAACATTTCCTTGTTTTGTTACTTGTTTGAGGCAAGTTCTTGTGTAGCCCAACACAACACTGAACACAGTCTATAGCTGAGGCTGGCCTTGAACTCTTCCTCACTTCTGCCTCCGCCTCCCAAGTGCTGAGACTGTAGGGATGCACCATCACTCCCAACTAAGAATTCATATATTTGACTCTCGCAAAGCAGAAGTATCTTGGAGATTTTCTCAACCTCTGGGTAGCCTGGGTAAAGATATAGGGTGGATGGGCACTATGGCCATGGATGAATGGCCAAGGGCTTGTGACACCCCTGAGGTAGGATGCCCTCATGGTGTGGATCCAGACGGGTTTGAGACCATTGCTCTTCCTAAGACTGTCTGTCTGTCACTCCATTTCCAAGCTTGCTTACAGTCCCCCGTACTCACTGGTAGCAGTTGTTGTTGAACTTGTTGTAGCTAGCAAAAGCCAGGAGAACCCCAAAGCCTGGGCCAAGAGAGAAGAAGATCTGAGCAGCAGCATCCACCCACACCTGGAACACAGCAGGGGAGGGCACAGGGTGTGTGTGAGACCTGGGCTGCAGCCGGCATTTCTAGGCCCATTGTGGGGATGGCCACTTCCCTGGTGAAATACAAGTGATTTCTCTTCCTACCATTTAAACTTAGTCCTGCTCAGTGGCCTCAAGACACTGTGTTCTTAGTGCTTGTATTTCTGACCTAAAGTATCATTGCAGACTTGCACAGTAAATTTGAGCTGTTCCTACTGTCCTGTTTGAAAGAGAGTTGGCTTTATCTAGTGAAAATCAGGCCAAGTGTACACTGTTTCCCTTGATATCTCACCCCTGTCTCCAAGAGTTTCTGCCAGTTGGGTTTCAAGTAGAAGACAACCCCTCTCCAGGCTCCAGGAAGGGTGGCCCCCCTCACCAGCAGGACAGACAGGACGATGTAAGGGAAGGTGGCTGTCACCCACACCACCTATAATGAAGAACAGAAACATGGGTTATTACCATACTATCCCAGAGGCAGCAAAGAAAGGAGACAGGTGGTGGCGGTATCTTTTACTACTGAAGACCTCTGGAAATGGGGGTCCATTTATTCTGTCACTATAGGGAGCAGCATGGCCTGACAGGAGGATATATATCTTCAAGCCTGAGTCTGGGCGTAATATACTGCTGTAATTCTGCCATTTGAGACGCTGAGGCAGGACAATTCCTATGAGTTCATGGCCAGCATGGGCTGCATAGTGAGATGCTGTTCTGAAAAGCAGACAGCAGCAGCAATAACAAAAGCCCACTGCCTTCAGCCATCTGACTGCTTGCCAGTCCTCCCTACCTGTAAGCCTGCTCCACATCTGTCAAGGAGGGACAGAATCTAGAGGCAAGTAACAAAATCAGCCAGAGTAGAAAAGCTCTGGGTATGGCTCATGAGTAGCTTTCTGTAAATTAGGACCAATATTAGCAACTGAGTATACCACTACACTAAAAGAAATATATATATATATTATATCATGCATGCATATATGTATGGAGGCAAGAGGTTGACACTGGGTGTGTTCCTCAGTTGGTCTCCACCTAACTTTTTGAGCTCTCACAAAGCCTGAAGCTGGCCCATGCAGTTAACCTGACTAGCCAGCAAGCCCAGGGGTCCTCCTATCTCTGCCTGCTGACCCCCGCTCCCACCATGCTGGGATTGTAGCTACACACTCTTGCACTGCTGTGTGCAGCTTTTTACATGAGTGCGGGTGACACACTCGAGTCTTCATGCTTCTGTGGCAAGTATGTAACCTACCGAGCCACCTCTCCAGTCCCTATACATTTTCTAATAATATGAATTGTACCTTCATTTAATTACATGCACTTACATGTAAATGATATTGGTTGATTTCTAGAACCTTCTAACAAATGGGATTGTCACAGAATGTGTTTGGTGTTAAGGCAAACTGATTTTCTCCTGCTCAGTAGCCATCCAGGGTAATGGTCTTGAGTTTTTGTGACACTGTGGAGTCCTGGGCTGTCCAGAACAAGCAGCAGCAGAATCCTCCTCACCTTGCCAGATGTTTTGACTCCTTTCCAGATGCTAAAGTAGATAATGGTGAAGATGAGCATGATGCAGAGAGCAAGCTGCCAACTGATGGTCCCCAGGTCCTGGAGTCCCTTAGACTGGTGGATCTGCAGGACATGGCGCCTGGAGTGACAGAAGAAGAGCCTGTGGGAGAGCCACCTGAGCACATCGCCAGAGGACAGTGGACACCAGCAGGAGCCTCAGGAGGGCCTGGAACGGCCCTTGCTCATCCTGAAAGAGCCCTGGATGCCCTGGGAGGAGCATTCAGCCCAAAGCCAAGCCTTGTCTCTCCCCTTCCACTGTCTAGAACCAGAAATTCTCAACCGGCATGACCAGGTTCCCAGTACATGGAAATCTGTATGTAGACAACGAGCCCTTCACTCTAAATTAGCTCTGTATTTGGGCTACTATTGCCTAAAAGTTCTATGTTAAAAATATTACTGTGCAGGGGCACTAGCACACTAGAAGAGCAACTGCCTAGCATGTGTAAGGCCCCAGGGTTTAACACCATAAAAAAATCCTAGATTCTCCAAGTATCTTCCAAAGGGCAGGTCCCACTCACAAAGTCAGCACACCAAATCAGAAACACGTTTTGAACAACTGAAGCAATTGGGTTTTGGCTTCCACGGCCACCAGCTGGAGGAGGAGAAGCCAGCAAGAAGGGTTGCTTTGGTGCAGAGGAGTAACTTTGGGAAGTGAATGCAGGGTCAGTGTGGACATGGTGGAGCAGTCTGACCTGACTTATGGCATGTATGGAGACAAGAAAGGGTCAGTTTATGTAGCAGTTGGAATAGAGTCCCAACTCCAAATCCTGGAGGGAGCAATGCCGCCATCCCTACATTCACATTTGTTCCCTAATCCTTAACAGCTTAACCTCTCAAATCTATCAGGAGACCAGGAAGGGCTCATGAAGTCCCATCCATCCCTGACCATAGGCAGTCAAAGTTTGCAGGGATAAGATATTTTCTTCAGTGGTGTAGCACTGGTAAGTTGCCCATGCTCCTGAAAGAAACCATCATTAAACTCATGTGTCACCAGAAAGAATTTAAAAAAAAATTACCATAGAAGGGGAGCGAGTTAGGAAGGGGGTGAGTGGGAGATAATAATGATAGCAGTGAATGTAAGCAAAATATATCACATCCATTCATGTAAATGTCATAATGGAACCTGTTTTATATAACTAATATATGCTAATGAAACACTTTAAAAGAAGTCTGCCAAGAGAGGGATGAAGATTTTTTGGTCCCTAAGATGCCAAGATGGGTCCTTAACAGACCACGGCCTCCATCACATGGACTTACAAGTAAAACTCCTCAGCAGGTGACGTGGAATGGAGTGTCCAGGTGATGTTGTCCTGGGAGAAGTAGTTGGTGCAATTGTCCGTGTTCCAAGAGTTCCTGCAGCTGGTCCAGGGCAGCTTGTCGGTGAAGGAGGAGATGAGGTAGTAGAGTGCCCAGGCTATGATGGTATTGTAGTAGGAGGCGATATAGAAGGCAATGATGCAGATGGCATAGCCAATCCCTGGACAGTGGGTGAGAAAGGCCACGTTCACAGGGCAGCCCAGACCCATAAAGCCTAAGAGATTAAAGAACTAGGTCCCAAGTCCCGGCCAATTATGTACCTTGTCCGGCACCTCCTCCCGACCCTTCAGCTACCTTTGAAAATCGGGCAGATTTTCCTCCATATAGAAATGCACCCGTTTCGGTGATACTGGCCCAGCGCAAGCTCCATGTAAAAAAGTGGGATTCCCCCAAAGATGGCCATGATGGTGTAGGGGAGGAGGAAGGCACCTGTGGCAGAAGGGAGACAATTTTATTTCCTGCCCACACATGTCCCCAGGTCAGCCTGCTGATGTAGAGATGAGCTCAATGATAGGCGGCCTGGTCTTAGTGCTTTAAGAGAGGCTGCAGTAGACTAAGTTCCACAGGTACAGGTACTATCGAGTGTAGACCCCTGGCTGGGTTGGTCAGCATGATTGTTGACATCGTAGAGTTACCTGGGAAGGGAATCTCAATGACAAAGTTTTTTGTTTGTGTTTTTGTTTTTTTGAGACAGGGTTTCTCATGTAACAACAGTCCTGACTGTCCTGGAACTCTCTTTGTAGACTAGGCTGGCCTCAAACTCAGAGAGAGAGAGATCTGCTTGCCACTGCCTTGAAAGTACTAGGATTAAAGGCGTGGCCACCACGCCTGGAAATCTTGATTGGGCTTGCCTGTGAGAGACTTCAACCGTGTTAATGGAGATGGAAAGGCCCACCCAGAATGTAGGTAGAACTACTTCACCGGTTGGGCCCTGAACTGAATGAAAAGGACACACTGAGCTGAGCCAGCATGCGACTAGCAGCTTCAAGTTCCTGCCATCTAGAACTTTCAGTGTGATGAACTGTAATCTGGCACCCTGAGCCAAATAAACTCTTTAAAGCTGTTTTTGTCTTGGTATTTCACTGAAGTAACAAGAAATGAAAACTAAGATAGCGTCTTAGGGCAGATCAAAGCAAAAACAAGCAAGCAAAAGACAAACCAAGCTAACAATACAGAAAGAGGAACCTAGGGAGTAAAGGGAAAGAGGCTGGGCCGGAGTCAACAGAGCAAGTGCCAGGACTGTTGTGGATCTGAGGTCGTTCAGAGAGTCACCAGTCTGACTTAACTTTGGGTTTTAGTAAATTAGAGGCTTTCTATTAAAAAAGAGTCTGGCCAGGACTAAACCAGAGGGAGTTCTCTAGGCAAGGCCCTGGTTATTGTTAGCCAAAGGATTGTAAAGGCAAAACCCACAAAGTTATAATTTGGGGGAGCCAAATTAACTCATACGCTGTTTGGGTGGGTAAGAGGCTTGATTTTACAACTGATGTCCAAGCAGGTGCCTCAGCCATCCAAGTAAGCAAGTATTTCATACAAAAGCAGAACTTAGCAACTAGGCCTGTTTAATTTTGTGTCCCTAACCTTTTAAGAATAAAGGAGGCAGGAAAATATTTTGCAAAAATCAGCAATTTTTAAAGACTAACCCAGCAGCACCAGGAAGTGGTCCATCTTGGGCCAGCTGACAGGGTACACTCAAGATAGGAGCAACTTCCTCATGGCTTATACAAGCTAAAACAAAACAAAAATGTATCCTCTAAGCATAATGTTCACCATGAACAAGGACTACCTCCACCTTCGTCTGAGCTCTGATTTCCTCTCTCATCAGATGATGGTGCCAGATAGTAACATATCACAGTGACAGGTGACTCTAAAAACTGACCTCCAGAATCGAGGGTCTACCCCAGGCCTCATGGAGATGATGTCCAGGTGTGTGAACAATGCGGAAGCTGTCTGATGATCTACACGGATGCAACTGTCTATGACTCAGGGAACCGGATTCTCCATAGTACTACCTGTGACTCCAGATCCTTGAGCACTGATATCTTGACTGTGTGTCCATAATTCCATTGAGCCAGAATAGTTCCTCATAAGCTGTCACTGTTTGAGAACATGGCTGAAGATAGTTGTTTCTCACAGAACAACAAGATTGTTCACCTGTAGCTTGAGATTTAGCCCAAGGGTGAGTCAGCTATGATTTCCCCTGATAACCTTCCTGCCTAAAAGGGCTTCACCCCTAAAAACTAAACTCAGTGTGACTCCAAAATGGCCGTGCAATTACAGTCACTGTGAGCAAACAGGGCTTGAGAAACCCTGGGTTTTTATGGTGACCCTCGACTCAGCCAAAGGATTTACCAGATTGACTTTACAGTAGGATCCAGCCCCTCACATAAGGCTCAGACTAAAGGTTCTGCCAAACAGGAGATAAGGAGAATATGACTTCCAATCCTCCCAGGCAAGAGGTGTGCAACCTCTCATGGCTCAAGGAGCTGCCTTCGTGGCCACAAAGCAGCCATTAAAAGACAAAACCTTTTGTGTTAGGTCACAGAAGTCTTGATGACATAAATGAATTACCTCCCAGATCTCATTGTAGTTGTCTCTCAAACAGCTTGTCAAAATACGTGTCCTCCAATCGGCACCTATTGCTTCTTGCCCAGTATCTACACAGAGGGTCAGTACCTACTCACCCGTCTCCCCCAGTCTGCCCAATTCACACACGCAGTCAACAACATAACTACTCTACAGCCTTAGGGTCACTAGGATGGACAAGACTCAACATCTACAACACAAGGGATGTGAGTGTAGCCTTGCATGCTCTGGGGTTGCTATGAATGTCACACTGAGGCTGGGTTCAACTCTGGATCACATCAAGTCTGATAACGTAAAGACTTTGGACATAAACTAGTGCCTTTCTCTGGCCTCGCACAAGCCCAAAGTCCTAGCAGGGTCTGGAGCTTACAGCCTCCCCGTGTTTCCGCCCACAGGCTTTAGACCTTCCCACTCTGCCAGTAGACCTTCAGCACAGTGTGGTGAGTATTCTCTTGCTTTTCACTCACTAACAGAAGCTTGACTAACCCAGGATGAGAAGGAAAGCCCTTCAGCAAATGAGAAACAGACAATACTAGAAACCCAAGGCCATGTGTGGGAGAGTTCAGGTCTGGCTTCACAACCTGAAAGCACCACACAGTCTACCTTAGGCTTCTGGCTGACTGCAGACTTGGCTAGCATGAAAGCTTAGGCTTTCCATTTCTCATGTCAGTCACACAGGACAGGAAAGATGTGTTTTGTCTTGCAGCCTCCCATAAGGGGCACAACCCACCCCTGGGTCGGAGCCTCTGCTGGTGGCCCATGGTACTAACCTCCACCATTCTGGTAGCATATGTAGGGGAAACGCCAGATGTTGCCCAGGTCTACAGCATAGCCAATGACAGACAGGAGAAAATCCATCTTCTTGCCCCAGGTCTCCCGCTCCCCTTGGCGAATCTCAGCCACCAGGGTGGTGGTGGCTGCTGGGATAGCGTGTGTAGCTTCATCTCCTGCACTCGTGCTGGGAACTGCAGAATACCCATTGGATATCTGGCCAGGTTCTGCCCTGTCCCCTGGAGTGGGGACACCCTTCTGTAGAACACCATTTTCTTGACAGTCCTCTCTGTCCTTGCATGCTGACAGCACTTTCTGAGAATTCAAGGGTGTGGTCTCCATCCTGTTGGTCAGTAAATGATACTGATGCCCATCTGCCAAGGACCCAAAGTTGGTTTGACTCTCCTCCCAGTGTTACGGAGATAAAACTGAGAGCTCTGTTGGTAAAGCATACAGAGAAAGGAGAGAGAAAGTAGGGGTTCATTTGCTTGGGGTATTAATCACCCATGTTTTATTTTTTAAGAAAGGTCTCACTCTGTAGCCCAGGTGGGTCTTGAACTTGCAGCAGGCCTCCTTTCACAGCTTCCTGAGTGCAGGAATTACAGGCTCAAATGTTCTTAGGTGGCAGGGTTACAAATGCTCTTATCTGCAAACCAGCCCATTTGCTCAGAGTCAATAAAATCAACTAAACTTTTCCACAAATGGATGGTGTCAAATCACCATAAAGTAATTTGAAAAGGAAACAAAACAAAAATAGCAAATCACCAAGATTGCTTGCAGAGGCCCTACTTAAGAGCCAGCACTTGCGTCATTTAGAGGGACACCAATGTCCCCTGTAGTTTATCAGTAACCCAGAGGAATGTCAGGAGAAGTTCCCTGCAGAGCCAGAGAGCCCTGTCCTGGATGCCATGCCTAGAAACAGCAGCACAGCGCAGCTTCTGTCTGACTGACTGCCAGCAGGAACAGTCCTCTCCATTTAAACTGAGCACCTGATGTGAGATTTTACATATGCTGCCAAGGTGGTCTAAAGAAGAAAAGAGAGGCAAAATACCACCCTTGGGCGGTGCCTGATTTTCTCACCCTCCCCGATTGGCTCCAAGAAGATTCCAGCTGCCTGCAGCTGTGTGCAGCACAACCAGGTCCTCTCCAGGTCCAAGTGGGCCATGTCTGTCACTGCTCCTCACCATTCATATTTCTTGCCACTTGCCAGCAACTTCTGGGGCTAAGCCACTTGCTACTGCAGCCATGAGCACGCCAGTGTGCTCGTCCAGAGGGTCAAGGAGAAAAGTGTGCAGGCTGCTGACTCCAGACTTGTCTCTGATGACCCTGTTCCCACGCGCCCCTGCAGAAGGCTGGACCCTGGCAGCTGCACCTTTATTTCACTGCCATGGTGGGGTGCAGGGGAGCAGCTGGGCTCTCTTCTGGACTAGGGGTGAGATTTCTACACGTGGAGTAGAAATCTGAGCCCTTCTGGACTTTAAACCTCCTGCCTGCTATAAACTTAGAAGCAGCCAAGGCCTTCCAGGTCACTCTCCATTTCTCTTAAGCACTTGGCAGTTTCAGAATTAGACTCTGCCTCTGCTTCATTAAGATGATGCCATACCTTTCTAGAAATGGACTCTTACACTGCTCACAATGGCAAAGATCCCCCGCCAGCCTCAAAGGCCAACCATGGGAGGAGGGCAAATGCTCAGCTCCTTCCTACTGGGGTTTTCAAGAGACCCCACATTTTCCCTTTCTTTTTCTTTGCTTCCTCACCGGGATCCACGAACCCAGGCTGGCCTTGAACTTGCCACGTAGGTAAGGGTGAGCTTGAATTTGTCTGACCTTTCTGCTCCCACCTGTGTGTGCTAGATCACGTGAGTGCACCACAGACCCTGGGTTTATGCTGCACTGGAGACTGAAAGCAGGACTCTGCTCCCTGGGCAAGCACTCTACCGACTGAGCAAAATCATAGCTCTATACAGCCCATAACTCTCTATACAGACAGGTGGGAAGACAAAAATATCGTGAGGGGCTAGGCATATAATCTAAGTGGTAGGGCATTTGTTTAGCACACACAGAGTTCCCACACACATACACAGAATAAAAACCTGAACACACAATATAAATATTGGCAAAGATTAGACACAAACAGCAGGAGATGAGAGTAATTAGAGTTTTGTGCTCAATTTTTTTTCACTGTAGAGTGTTTGGCCTTTAAAAGGATTGACTATTGTCAAAAATATTTAGAGAAACAAGGGGTAATTTGGTTACATGGAAATAGGGTATACATGCATATATATATGTATGAGCATGTCCTTGGGTCTACCCTGCCCAGCTGTTTGGCCCCTATCCTACCTGACTCAAGGATGCAAATGCCACTGAAAACAATGGGGGTCCTGATGCATCAGTGTAGACAGAGCCTCATTCTGCTTGCTTGCTGTACCAGTGTCTAGACTCTGCCAGTTCTCCACTGTGTGACCTAAACATGAAGACCTTTTTCCTTGTGGTGCTGGAGACCAAACTGCAACTTCACATGTGCTACGTACTGTAAGTGTTTTGATGCATCGGATGGGACAGGTATTCTGGCACTGGGGAGTCACAGAATACTGAGTTATACAGTTCAGGTGGAAAGGTATCCTGGAGCTTGGGAGCCAAGGACCACCACAGGTCACAGTAAGCCTAGCTTACAGCCCTGTCTTAGGGAAAGGCTCCCCAAGTGTATCAGCTCTATTCTGGCAGGAGAGGGTCTTCCAGCTGGGGATGTTCGCCCAGTGTAGTTTAGCTCTGGCAGGAGGTTTCCCGGGTAAAGTTGCTACAGTTCAGCTCTGCTCCGGGGAGAGTGGAAAGCTGAGTGTAACAATTCCACTCTGCCAAGGGAAGGTTTCCCCAGCAGAAGTGTTACAGCCCTGCCTGCTTTGCGGCAAAAGATCTTCACCCAAAGCTGGTCAAAGGGGTTTATTGGAAGGAAGCAGCTGGACCGGCCAAGCTGAACATACACAGGGTTTATAGGGATTCTTGGGGGCAGGGGAAGTTTTTCCAGGGTAGGGATTGGTCAGATTTCAATGCTGAGCTCAGATTAGTTAGAGCTCTTGCTCAAGGATTAGTTAGTTTTCTGCATAGGGTTAGGGTCAAATTTGGCTCTGGTTTCAGGGCCAAAGTATACTTCTTTCTCTGGTCCGTTTTAGCCTTTTGGCTGTAGTTTTAGGACCAGGGTGTATTTCTTTCACTGACTCTGATTCCAGGGATAAAGTGTGTTTCTTTGGCACTGGTTTCAGGGTCAGGGTACATTTCTTTGGATCTGGTTGCAGGGCCAAAGTGTGTTTCTTTGGCTCTGCTCAGGGTGTGTTTCTTTGGCTCTGCTCAGGGTGTGTTTCTTTGGCTCTGCTCAGGGTGTGTTTCTTTGGCTCTGCTCAGGGTGTGTTTCTTTGGCTGGATCTTCTTCCCTACACATACCTGCTTTACCACTGAGCTGGAGTCTGAGCCCTGACAAACTTCAAACATAGCCACATACTCACTCATCTGCCACAAGTTAACTACTCATCAGTCACACATACATTTACATTTATTTATATGTTTATATTTAGTATATCATTTATCATGTGTAATTACATATATGTATATTTATATATTACATATATTTAAATGTATTTAATACATATTTGTGTGTATGTATGTGTGTGTATGTGTGTATGTATGCATGTGTGGGGTGAGGAGATGCTGCTATATCATTATAGTTAAAGAGAAAACTATGTTGAACTTGAACTTGGTTGGTTTTTCACACTAAACACAGGGAAACCTGACGACCAAACAGTGAATGTAGAAAGTGTCCCCGGGGGTGAGAGTGGACAGTGACTGCTCAAGCATGGTTCCTTACTCTCTTCTCCATCCTGCCTGAAGGAACTGCTTCCCAGCACCAACACCAGGACTTCCCTCACACTTAAATTGCGGGATGGAGGATGGATCAACTCAGGACAGACCTTGGGGAAAGGAAGAGGCAGCCACAGCCTCAGGAGCCAAATAGTGTGTTCTAGATTCTGTGTTTTAGTTTTCCCCTTGGGCATCTTGCAGCAAGGATGGAAATTTGTGTGGGCTGCTGCTCTCAGGGGCAATGTGGATTTCCCAGGGTGCCAGGGGCTCAGCCCCTAAGATACAGTCTTTATTTCTTGGCAGCTATGATGAGCAGCTGGTGGGAGTACAATATCCTAGTCTCTATTTTTATCTCAACCATCATAAAGCTCTAGTTTCCTGAAATATCTGCCCAGTGCTTTCTAACTTGATAAAAATAAAGTAAACCTAGTCAGAGCATCCCTTGGGCCTCGCCACAGGGGTCTGTCTCTATCATCCATTTTACTTTCTAGGGTTCTATCCCACCCCTAACTTTTGATCACAGCACCCAGGATACAAAGTTATAACCCCTTGAAGCCACAAAACAAGTTCCCATCAATTCAGTCTCCCCACCTTTCCCCATTAGAGGAAAACTCCTTCCAGCTACCAATCTGGGTCCAGAAGGCAACTGGCTTGAGCTCCCTCCTGGTGGCCCCCTGACTCCCTTCTGACTTCCCCAGTGGTCCAGAGCCCCAATCAGGCTTTCCTGACACCTGCCTCCCCTAACAATGGTGAAGTACAGTTCTAAGAATCCTCTCCTGAAAGCTTTTCTAAAAGATATTTTTATCCTGCGGGGTAGGAAGACGGCAAAGGAGGTCAGTATTACAGTGCAGACCTCCTCCTGGCAGGCTTTGAATTTATCCGTGGACAGAAAGTGCCCCAGAAGCTGCCCTCAGCACACAAACACTGTTATCCCAGGCGGAGAAGCTAGCTAGCTGTGCATGGCACCCTAGCACCCAACTGTTCTGCTCCCACCCCACTCCCTGCCTCCTACTCCCCACCCCAGGGGCAGCTTGGCAGCTAGCTGATAGTTCCCTTTCTGTTCACATTCCCATTTCCCACCAGTTCTCTCAATTTGTCCCTAGTTAGTTAAAAAGAAGTGTTTCTAGGCTGGGGGCCATGCTAAGTGGCAGAGTGTCTGCCTAGTAAGAGCCTTGAGGCCCTGGTTCCATCCCCAGAACTGAAAGAAGCCGGAGGAGCCTGGGAGGAGAGACAAAACCTGTTTCTGTTTAAACTTCTGGTCAAATCTCCATTTTTCTTTGCACAAACCATCTCTGTAGCCAGGGGAACCGGTGTCTGAACAAGCAAATAATTATAACAATTAGTCATAAAATACCCGACCCTCTGGAAATGCCCGTGACTCTTATGTTTAACGCCCATTGGCACATTCTAAAAAAATATTCTGCGAGTTTTGTACTCTGACTCTACCTGTCAAGATCAAAGCGAGCTCACTTCTCAGGATACTCCATTTCCATTTTCAAAACCAAAACAAACCTCCAGCGTGAATTCTGGGTTGAACACTGAGATAAGATTAATTACAGGTCATCAAGCCAAGTAGCAATTTGCA